TCCAATAACAAGAAAATGCGACATGGTTTTTGACTTCCATCTAAATTGATATTTGGTTGATAACTCAAGATGCATTCAGAGGCGGTGCTCAAAGCTAATTTATTGACGTCGTAGTTTTGAATTATAAAGTCAACAATCTTTTGCCATTCACTCTTTAATCGATAGCAATTATGCAAACATATTTGATAGCATGTTCAGACTACATTATCTGATTACATATTTGATAGTATGTATATATATAGCGTGCCAGATAGAATGTATGTAATATACCAGATAACATGTTTGCAATATATCAGATAATATGTTTGCAATATACCAGATAACGTGTTTGCAATATACCCGATAACATGTTTGCAATATACCCGATAACATTACCTGCCATCACAAATGATGCGCAAAATGCAATCGACCTGTCAAACTCGCGATAAGGCCAACCAGCTTACAAGTGGTTAATTTCATGAAATTAGTTACACTTCTATATGGCCAACTTTATGAAATCACCATGCACACACTTTATAGCATACAAAAATCATTATTGAATTTGGGCTTCTAAAGATAATAGGACTTAATATAGAAGGGGCACATACCGTGCGTCATAACCTAAATCAGAGAATGTCTTAGGTTTGAAATTAACCAAAAACACCAAATCAAAATGCGATATATCACATATGACTTGATAACAGAAATCAGTCACGATCGTCCGATAGTTGGCATATAGTTTGACAATGTGAACACAAATTCGTTGTCATATTTTTTTGAGTTTTTCAATTATTAATTAATTATAATTAAAAAAATCTCTTTACATTTATATCTTTTTATAATTATTCAAGTTTACTTTTTTAAATATGATAATTATAGAAAAATTTAATTATATTACTATTATATTATATTATATTTAGATTTAATAATAAGAAGTTAAATAATAAAGTTTATAATAACTTATTTCTATCTATATTATAATATGATAAAAGATTAAAGTAATTCAGAGAGTAATTGATTATTATTTATATTATATTGATAAGATTTATAACTGATAATATATTTATAAATATTTTATTCATCTTTAACTAATAAAATTATCAAGAAATAGTATTGTAAATCTAATATATTTAGTAATTACTAAGTTATAAAATTCAAACTAAATTTTTACTTTTAAATTTTTATTATTTAAAATTATCATATGATTAATATTCTTTAGATAAATTAAATTTTTTTTAACTTAAAATAATAAGTTCTAACTTATTATTTAGATATTATACTTTTAAAATTCTGCAAAATCTTCAAGATTTTTTTAAAATAATTATTTTTTTATATTTTTAAATTAATCTTTTTTGTTAATAAGATTAATAATAATTATAGTGAATTTATTAAATATGATAATATCTGCTATAATATTATCTTTTCAGATTTATATTTAACTTTAAAATTATTAGTTTACAAGATTTTTAATTATTTAACTTATTTTTTAAAGAAATTATATTGAATTTTAATATATTTTAAAGAGATATAATTAATAATTATAATAAATTTTTATTCTTTTAAGTAAGACTTTTAAAGTTTAATAATATATACTATTATTAATAATTTTTTTATATATTAAATAATTTTGTTTAACTAGTAATAATTTACTAATTCTAAGCTATAAATTAATTTTTCTTGTTTTAGTTTTAGTTTAATACTATTTCTATTATAAAGTCAAATATATTAATAATAATAATGAATAATAATTTAAAATTAGAATAATAATAAAATTAAAATAAAATATTATTTAAGATTTTTAAATACTTATTATACTTATTTTAATTATTTATATTTTTAATATTTATATAATAAAGCTATAAGAAATAACTAAAATTCTTTAATAAACTTTTAATAATAACTTACTAATTTTAAAAATAAGCAAAATTTTAAAATATTTATAAATACAAATTAATTTTTAATTATTATTATTTTTTTAATTAATTAAAATTTATCTTGCTAATATAAAATAATTAAGATTAACTTCTAAATCAATTCAAATATATTATTTAATTATTTATGTAATTAAATTATTAATAAATTTTTATTTAAATTATTCAAAAATCAATTCTAAAAATAATTTATATACTATTAATATAAGATTATTTTGTTAATGGTTATAAATAAGATAAAATATGATATGAATAAGTTTTAATTTTATAACTTATGATTATTTTTATTATTTAAAAGTAT